TTATCTCGATCCCCATGACCAATCGCCGGCTTTTGAAAATTATACAACAGAAACTTGCCTACTTCAAACTGTAGTAATTGAAATGAAATGACATTATTGTTGTCCGCGCAATTAACTTTGCACAACAAGAAGCGAGGAGCGAGAGGCTTGCAAACAAAAGAGAGAGGTTGCGGTACCTGTTCTATTTATAGCAAACCCGCTTGTCGCTTAATTGGCTTTCACGCGTTCTTACACGTTGATTTTTAAAAAAAAACAACAACAACAGAATCAGTATTTATTGAATCCGGAGCGAGAGAAAATAAAAACTCGCAAATCCGGAGCTAAAAAATATTTAGCCTCACGAATCCGGAATTCCGGGATAATCCGGAAAAGTGGCAACGGACATTTGCCTTGTGTTGTTAGCAAATATGCATCTACATTTTATAGCATGCCAATGGCTTCATCAAACAAATCACGGTAACGCTGTTGGTAAAAAAAAAATAACAACACCAAAAACACGTGCATGTACATTCTCATTAATTATAAACGCACATCGTGTACATAAAGAAATATCAAGCATATGTTAATATTGCCGCCATATTGGTTTTCGTTCATCTCGATCATCGGTTATCTCGACGCCTTGGCAAATCCCCAGGCCGTCGACATAACCGGGTTCTACTGTATAACGTTTTCAAGTCATACATCTTATGACCTTATCCTAAGAGTATAATTGCTTACCAGTTATGTTAAAGAACTTTACCTTTTTCTGAGTTCAAACACATGATTAATCAATGTGTTTTACAAGACGTTAACATATACATTCATAAATAAATACAAACACATTACCCATTGCCCAGACGAAGATTTTATTATTGTTATAAGTTATAATCTCTTAAACCAGTGTGCACATTTATGTCATCTATAACTATATGCCTTTGATAAACAATGATATCAATTGGTGTGCTTCACTCACAGTCACAGCATAAGCTGTTCAGTAGCTGAAGTCGCTGCTACTGTTGATGGACAGTTCAAACCGTCCATATTTAAATAGATGGTATCATCCTAATTGTAGGCATATTGTAAATTTATATCGTATTAGTTAGAGTTTAGAGTAATCACAGGTGTAAGCCTATATTAGGTAGAGTACTAATATTTTTAAGGACTGAACCAGTGCCATCTTTAGGCATGAGCACACTTGGCACCGGCCCAGGACCTCACGCCCCCTCTAGGGGACCTCATGCCTCTAGGGGCCTCATGCCTCTAGAGGCCTCATCATATAGGAGGCATTCTGCATCTAAGAAACCTCAAGCCCCTAGCCTGCCCTAGGGGGGAGGGGGGAATTCATGCTTCAAAAAATATTTTGCTGCCAATATTTGTTTGTTTGCTTGGCAATTAAATTTGCTTTCAAAATGCAGCGGGAAGACCGTTTTTCCATTTTTAAAAACAATTTTTTCTAATGTTGATGTCAAATTCAATTCTTTTTGGTACTAGTTTTAGACATACTTTCCTTTTTTTAAATTGTCAATTTGAAAAAAATAATTTTTTTTTTTTTTTTTTTTTTTTTTTTGTGGGTGATGGAAATATTTTTTT